CAATTTAATATGTAATATTGAAGATTGCCAATGTTATTATTTACAATAAATCATTGTAAATATGGGCCCATATAAGCAGTAAGACGGTTTGCAATTCAAAAGAGCATTTGTTAAACGGTTGTATTCACCTGATGACCACCAGATAAAATGATCGAAACATGTTGTGATATTAATAAAATAAATTCAATGATATACATTCTTTGAGTTGAGTTAGACGGAACAAGCATGATAGAATAGTTTGCAAATATGCAACAGGATATACACTATAAAAATTTAATAGTTGATTTAACTAAAATTCTTTTAGTCAAAGCTTCATGCTTTCAGGTGAAGTTCCCCAGTATTCTAGGTTATTCAATAATTTAAGCGTTAACCAATTAGTTTATTTTCAAATGAATGAAACTTATTATAAATATTTCTGTTAAAATCTATGGTAAGGCATAGAAATGAGGCAAAGTGAACTATAAAAACATTGTAAATATTTATTTCTAATCCATTTTCCCTCCATACATATATGTTGTTTTTATAAATTATGAAATAGACATAAGTTGGTTGTTTTTTTCTAAACTTTTACACAATAAAGATTTTGCTAAAAATAAATATAATGTTTGCTTTATATGTCCCATTGTCGCCCTGGTTCCTATTATGAGGGAAATTATCGTGTACCGAACTTGGTTGAGAGACTGGATCTTCTGAGTTATAATTTATCAGTTATTTTCTTCAATCTCGCTCATGCAGTTGAAAAATCACAGTTAATAAACTAAGACGACAACAGTCAATTGTCCACTCTAATCCATTCCTTAAATTGAAATACACATTACTCGCAAAATATTGTATTTCTCTGTACGGTAATGACACAGTATGTGTCACATAGATACAGTAGCATAGAGCCCTGGTTATGTAATTTTGGTAGAGCTGCAATCACAATGGCTAACGAGTTGTAAATACTCTGTTCTGTCGTGACCCAAGATGTTGGCTGGTCGACTGAATTACGTTGGCTGAGCAGTAGCGTAATAATTCAGTGATGATGATTGTCAGATGGCTGCCGGAGCGTGTATTCCAACCACAAAGAGCAATTACTCACTACAGATTATAGAGGATTTATTGAGACTGTGTGTATATTACGTACAAGCGCTGGCGGACGTAAGCCTGGCCAGCCTTCTCATAGCCCCAACTCAGACAAAATGCTCCCTTCAACCTCTCTCTTGTTCTTAAAACCTAATCTAAACTAAGCTTGCAGCCCAGTGTCTCGAGACATGAACCCTCATGCAGATCAAGTTACACCAGCAGTTGTTGAAGGATAGGTCCCAGACGAAACACTCCAGGAGTCCACTACTTTATGAAAATGGCAGGGGTAGATATAACATTTTTTTGTGGAAGCAGGTCAACCTCTTGACGTTCTATAAATTTTAGTAGAGGGCATGACCCCAGACATCAGACTCAAAGTTCCTAAAACTAAAAGGGGTTGCGAACCGTCGCAACAGTTCTGGCATGAGCAACAACAGCAACCAAGTACAACGAGACACTACTTTAATTATATGTTTATGTTGGAAACATAACAAAGCATACATATTCCATTCTTAGCTTTGTTAACTTCTCTGTTAAATTTGTCGTGTAGTTTGATTTTAATAAGATAAGTTGGCTAACAGTTAAGCCCAGCCTGGAAGTGATCATCCACACTGTCAAACAGCGGAGAGGAAGTGAGGAAAGTACTCCTCTCGGAGTCCCTGTGCTAGTTCGAGGAACGGCTACGACTTTGTAAGAGGGAGTTCCCTCCTCACCGAGGAGAAACCCGAACTTACACACCACTCACGTCTAGGTACATCTCCCTTCTAAAACATACATGTCTTCATGCTTACTTCTTCTGCCCCATCCACGCTGAAACCTACCCAAAACCCGCAATGGTCTCCCCCCAATGACCTCATCGGGATTCGATTCCGCGACCTTCCGGCTTGTAGCATAATGCCTCAACCAACTACGCTATCGCGTGTCTCATTAAAAAGGAGGATGTTGAAAGGAAATTTCCAGAAAGGTGATGTGAAGTGTACTGGTTTAGGATACACTGAATTTCTGAGTCTTTTTGACGACTGTTTTTCAAAAACAAGAAGTTCCCTTCTGTTAAAGTGTCTAATTGTCCAGTGGTCACAAGATCCTCTACCACTCAGTAAGTAGTTAAGATTCTTAAGGTCTATCAAGGTGGTCATATCGTCAAAGCATAAATATTTTCGCCAGCTCTAACATTTCTTTCATGGAACAGAATGCCACTGGAGGCAAGGATGTGCATCTTATTCCTTCCTGTGTCTGTGTTGTCCTGTGTAGGTAGCGGCGTTGCGACGGGCCAATCCCCCGTCCGAGGAGTCATACGGACCACCTCTGTGGTCTAGTGGTCAGAGTTCCTGGTAACAAATCCCGAGGTTCCGGGTTAGATCCCGACGCTACCAGATTTTCTGAGAAGTAGTGTGTCTAGAACGGGGTCCACTCATCCTCGTGAGGATAATTGAGGAGCTATTTCAAGGAAATAACGGCTCCGAATCGAAATTAACGGCCGTGGGGATCCGCTGCGCTGACCACGCGACACCATCTATCCGCTAAAGTTGGCACTAACTTCGCCGACAAGCGGCAGCCGCTCGGTCGGTATAGTTCGCTTGCGGACTAAAACCATGGAGTTTGTTTTTGAGGAGTCCTACCGACCAGCAGTATGATTTATTGTTTGAGATTTATTATCAATGTTAATAGGCCACAGGATCTAATATTTCAGAGGCGGAAGAAGAAGATAATGATGATGACGAGGAGGAGAAGGAGGAGAGGATGATGTTTAAGAATGCTGTCAACAGTTTGAAAGTTGTAGGTTTGTTGGTTGGTTCAGTTACCATGGTCGGCTCCTCTGCTCCTATTATAAGCGACTGCTACCAAGTCACACAACATTTAACTTTAAAATTTTAGAAATTAAATCTTAAATGTAAATGAATCCCATATAATTTCTTGTACTGGCATTTCCACTACATGATATAAAGACGACCCAGGATAGCATTCCGAGTTAAATTCATATGAACACGACAATGAACGACCAGGTTATATAAACATGGGGAAAATCTTGAATATTTGAGCGACTATTAACTTATCAATAAGTATTCTGCTGCCTGTGATTGGTTAGAGAGATATAATGATTGTACCTCCATAACTAGCTCGTCGGCTTCTCAATTGTGTAACTCGCAAAAGGGCTTTAAATGGCTCGCTGAGTCCCTCGTACCCTTCAAAACAAAATGGCTGAATAAATATACAGTGGGTCAGGTCACGGCTTTACTGTGTCTGACAGCATTACCATTCTATATAAACGCCATACGCCATGTGTCACGTAACTCAGCTTGTACTCAAACACTGTGTTTCCCCTTTCATTCCTTTCTTTCTTATTTTTCTTTCATCCCATCTTTAATTTGCTTTCTTTTTCCCGAAACAAGTATCGAACTCAATTTACATTGGTTTCTGAAGTCTTAACGCCATCTACCTTGAACATTGAGAGTTCAAGTTCTCCAAGGCATCACCAGATGCCACTGTAGTGAATGTAGAACACAATTATATTAAACAACTTCAGTTCTTTCGTCATTCTTGTTTGGAATAGCAGACTTACAATGTCTATAATATTCGAGTACAATTAAACAAAATATTACACTACAGAGCGTGTTCTATATAAAACGAACCTGCATTAAACTGAAATGTGTCTTTCTTAACTCCTCTGGTTTCTAGAATACAAGGAAAACTAATATAAAATTATTTTTAATTTAGAAAGATTGTTTAAGACAGAAATGGAAAGTGACCAGGAGCTAAGAGGTAACGCTGCTCAACTATTGGTTTATTGCTCATACAAATTTGACCTTTTCTGCGAGGCGTGGACTGAGAAGGGAATTCCGTGTCATAAATGGGAAAGAATAAAGATTCTAAAGCGAAAAACACACATAGGAGGGGAATTTTAATAGACGGCTAGAAAACGGAACACAAAAGAAAACGAGAATACAAGAAGTAACTAAGGAAATATGAAAAAGCTGGATATTAAAGTGGTTAATGGGTCTACATATCTGTTCAAAGTGCAACCATATTTAGAGCTGAATTTTCGATTTGAACAAGTCTTTCTTCATAATATTCGTGGTAGTAATGAAACGCCTGTTCCTAAACCCCACGCCACGAAACAGTGTAATGGTAGAGAAGATAAAATCCACACATGCTTAACCTCGAAATTATGAGGTGATGAATGACTGTGTGTATCCGTTGCGCTGACCACGTGACACCCTCTATCCTTAAAAGTTAGCACTAACTTCGCCGACAAGCGGCGGTAGCTCCATCGGTATAGTTCGCTTATGGAATAAAACCATGGCACAAAAAAAAACTATAGGTCAAGAACAAGTGAATTATAAATTGTTTCAATGTGTTATTGTTCCTGTTAATAATGTTTGGATGTGGATATCTGAAGTTTATTAAAAATTATGTTTTATTTTAGACAAAGAGGAAACTATGTCCATAAGAGACAAGTTATGATAAACAGTATCCGAGAGTAACTCGACCCTAGAGGGAGATGAGGGTTCAGCTTCACGCCCCTGCTGTTTTAACCCCGGAAAAAGAACCCCAGGTACCCATTGGCTATGTGGTTGAGTAGGCTCCAGAGCCGGTCTCAATAATTTGGAGAAGAGAAAATTCTTGACCATACCGGGACTCGAACTCCGACCCCTCAGTCGTCCAACCTGTAGCCAGTCGCTATACCGACTACGCTATCCCGGCTCCTTTTATCCGAGAGTTCTAAACTTAAATCAACAGGCCAGCGTAAGTATATGTACGACAGGTCTTTGTACATGTTAAGAAGAAAAATATGAACGGCTCAATTTGCGTTACCATGAAGTTCACAGAACATAAAACGTATCAGTACTTAGCCACTGTTAATTTCAAGCGTGTTCAGCAACAAAATAATTCTGTTTTTGAGCAGTTATTTAGAGTAAATTTATAACCATACTTACAGTCTTGAAGTTTGGTTTAGTCCACAGCTCTTTACTTGTACGCTGTTGTTCTATTCATTTCTTACACTCACGAAATTGTCTGTTCGCACTGGTTCATAAACACATGAAAAATATATGCCTCCTGTACCCTAAGGTTAAACTCACTCAACTGCTCTTAACGCAGACTTAACCGAACTTTCTTTCAGATATTGCACATTCTCGAAACTTCGGGCAAGATCTTATTCAACCTTAGGTTCCACAACTGTCCAGAAGGGAGAAAGGCCGCGGTATTGCTAAAAGAAAGAAAGAAAGAAAGAAAGAAAAAAAGAACTGCAAGAGCAACGCACCCACCTCCTCTCGCTCAGGAGAAAATATGATAAATTTCGGTGTATATTGTAACCGTTCATTATAATTTGGCACATTATAATATGCGATTAAGACTACTAAGCTGTAAGCTATATGCCATATGTAAGATTTGAGGTTTTCACGACGGTGACTATAGAAAGCAGTCTTCTGGGATGTGGCACCGTGTAGATGTGTTAACCGACGTTTCGGAGGAACGTATCGCCTCCATCTTCAGGGTAGAAGGAAAAATACGAAATCCGCAAGCGAAGAGACCGTGAGAACCGGTACAAGCAGACCACGGATTTAATTGCAAAAGCATTCGGAAGCAAAATCCGCGCTACACAAGAATGCCGATCAACTTGTTAGATTAGATTACATACTTAACTATTACGTGATCACAGTATAACTTTCGACTATAAATCAAACTGAAACACTGCAATAAAGTGTTTAACGTTAATAAAGTGTATCTGTAGTCATGTACATGTCACTGTGTCTACGTGAGTAATTCGCCGTAAATATTCTTTAATAAATCAGCACTCAAGTGCCAACCACTGTTGTCACCGTGTGTGCGCCACCCTGTTCCTTCTGCCCTGCTAAAGCAAGGCCCTTTAAGACCCAGGGACTTTGTCCTTTTCTATCAGACTCAAGCCTAAGCCGGATATACCTCTACATATCCTTACCAGAAGGCATCCTACAAATACGTAACTACCACCGCCTGGAAACTCCTGGAGCCCAAAAAGTTCTTCTGCGTTCCCAACCAATGATATCAACACCCACTGAAGAGAAGGAGGTAAGGATAAATCTAGGGCAGGTGAGTTCTACAAGCATGGACGTAGCGGCAAACTAAGCTCCTGCATGGGGTCGCTTCCAACTAGACGCCCTGCAGGCTCCGAAGCACAGCTATCCAAATGCTAGAACTGACGGAAGTCACTAACACCGCGAGGCCTGAACGGATATAAGTGGCGCCCATCGCGGGGTATAACCGCGCGGAGGAAAGAGAACAGTTGTAATATATATACCTGATTCCACGTCGACAGCGCTCTGCTGTATGACAGCAAAGACGGCCTCATCTGTACTCAGGAATGCCATTCCTCTCATAGTCTGCGGATAACACTAAAAACATGGCACATTTGGCAGCGCCATACCTCAAGCGGTTAGTTGCTGGCTTCCCACCGCGGCGGCCCGGATTCGATCCCGGATCTAGTCAAGTGGGATTTGTGGTGGACAAAATGGCGCTGGGGCAGGTTTTCTCCGAGTACTTCGGTTTCCCCTACCAATCTTCATTCCACCAAATTCCCCATCATCATAATCACCTGATGCAGGCTACAATAGGTCAATCAGTGACCGCCGTGCCGAGTGGACCAAGTTGGACTCCACCCCCCGCTTAGCGAATTAAAAAAAAAAAACATGGCTCATATCGTTACTTGTAAAGCAAAGTAGTGCCTACAGAATTACTCATAGACAAACACTCTCCATACATTATATGGTACAGTTAAGTTTCGAGGCCGCGCCGTAGCTTGAGCGGTTAGTCGCTCGATTGCCACCGCGGCGGCCCGGATTCGATCCAGGGTCTGACCAAACGGTATTTGTAGTGGACAAAGTGGCACTGGGGCACGTTTTCTCCGAGTACTTCGGTTTCCCCTGCCAATCTCCATTCCATCAATTGCTCCACAATCACCCCCACCTATCATCTGGGGCTGGTACAATAGGCCAGAAGTGGCCGCAGCAGTACAAGGGACTTAGTCCCATCCCACTAGCAATAAAAACAAAACACACCAATCCCTCACCAGTCGTAGGACTTGCTTTTATTGTAAACTCCGCAACTAACATTTTTTTTAATTCTCTTAGTGGAGGGTGGAGTCCAGCTGGGTCCACTCGGCACTGCGGCCACTGATTGACCTATTGTAGCCTGCCCCGGGTGATTATGATGATGGCGAACTTGGTGGAATGAAAATTGGCAGGGGAAACCGAAGTACTCGGAGAAAACCCGCCCCAGCGCCACTTTGACCACCACAAATCGCACTTTACCAGACCCGGGATTGAACCAGGGTCGCCGCGGTGGGAAGCCAGCAACTAACCTCTTGAGCTATGGCGCGGTGGGAAGCCGGCGACTAACCGCTTGAGCTATGGCGCGGTGGGAAGCCAGCAACTAACAGCTTGAGCTATGGCGCGGTGGGAAGCCAGCAACTAACAGCTTGAGCTATGGCGCGACCCTCAACTAGCATTAATCGCAGTCCAATTACATCTCCAACTTATTCACTAAATATGACATGATTCGTAATAACGTTAAACATAAATTGAATAATAAAAGTATAAAAGAGATAATTGCAATAATAAAATAGGAATAATAATAACAATAATAATATAAATAAATCCGGCCTAATTAAAATTAATTCTATATTTATTGCCATGCTTGTTCAGCAGTCTAAAAGCCA